GGCCGTGACTAGAGGCTGTGTGTATTGTTTTTTAACCTGTTCAATTAGAGTTTCTTTCAGATATTTTGCTCATAAGGGATGGGCGGTTGGACGAGGACGCAACTTAAAATTTCTATGGGTCGCTTGTAGCTTCCGTGGTGGGGGACATGGAAAAGTCTAATTTTTAAAAAAGTAAATACGCCTTTATTTACATTTAATATTATTTCTATTTTTAAGGGGAAGAAATAATTCTACTGACATAGCAATAATAAGGTATTTTTAAAAAATACAGAAAGTTGACTGCAGTAATTGTACATACTTTAGAATTTTACCACACTCTTGAGTTTGTCACATAATTTTGTCACACAAACCACCGTTCCTTCAATTTATCACAGAATGCCACCACACACTCCACCGTTCCTTCAGTTTGTCACAGAATGCCACCACACACTCCACCGTTCCTTCAGTTTGTCACAGAATTTTGTCACGCACTCCACCGTTCCTTCAGTTTATCACAGAATTCTGTCACACACTCCATTGTTCCTTCAGTTTATCACAGAATGCCACCACACACTCCACCGTTCCTTCAGTTTGTCACAGAATGCCACCACCCACTCCACCGTTCCTTCAGTTTGTCACAGAATGCCACCACACACTCCACCGTTCCTTCAGTTTGTCACAGGATGCCACCACACACTCCACCGTTCCTTCAGTTTGTCACAGAATGCCACCACACACTCCACCGTTCCTTCAGTTTGTCACAGGATGCCACCACACACTCCACCGTTCCTTCAGTTTGTCACAGAATGCCACCACACACTCCACCGTTCCTTCAGTTTGTCACAGAATGCCACCACACACTCCACCGTTCCTTCAGTTTGTCACAGAATGCCACCACACACTCCACCGTTCCTTCAGTTTGTCACAGAATGCCACCACACACTCCACCGTTCCTTCAGTTTGTCACAGAATGCCACCACACACTCCACCGTTCCTTGAGTTTGTCACAGAATTTTGTCACGCACTCCACCGTTCCTTCAGTTTGTCACAGAATGCCACCACACACTCCACCGTTCCTTCAGTTTGTCACAGAATGCCACCACACACTCCACCGTTCCTTCAGTTTGTCACAGAATGCCACCACACACTCCACCGTTCCTTCAGTTTGTCACAGAATGCCACCACACACTCCACCGTTCCTTCAGTTTGTCACAGAATCCACCACTCCACCGTTCCTTCAGTTTGTCACAGAATGCCACCACACACTCCACCGTTCCTTCAGTTTATCACAGAATGCCACCACACACTCCACCGTTCCTTGAGTTTGTCACAGAATGCCACCACACACTCCACCGTTCCTTCAGTTTGTCACAGAATCCACCACTCCACCGTTCCTTCAGTTTGTCACAGAATGTCACCACACACTCCACCGTTCCTTCAGTTTATCACAGAATGCCACCACACACTCCACCGTTCCTTGAGTTTGTCACAGAATGCCACCACACACTCCACCGTTCCTTCAGTTTATCACAGAATGCCACCACACACTCCACCGTTCCTTCAGTTTGTCACAGAATGCCACCACACACTCCACCGTTCCTTCAGTTTGTCACAGAATGCCACCACACACTCCACCGTTCCTTCAGTTTATCACAGAATGCCACCACACACTCCACCGTTCCTTCAGTTTGTCACAGAATGCCACCACACACTCCACCGTTCCTTGAGTTTGTCACAGAATGCCACCACACACTCCACCGTTCCTTCAGTTTGTCACAGAATGCCACCACACACTCCACCGTTCCTTCAGTTTATCACAGAATGCCACCACACACTCCACCGTTCCTTGAGTTTGTCACAGAATTTTGTCACGCACTCCACCGTTCCTTCAGTTTGTCACAGAATGCCACCACACACTCCACCGTTCCTTGAGTTTGTCACAGAATGCCACCACACACTCCACCGTTCCTTCAGTTTATCACAGAATGCCACCACACACTCCACCGTTCCTTCAGTTTATCACAGAATGCCACCACACACTCCACCGTTCCTTCAGTTTATCACAGAATTTTGTCACGCACTCCACCGTTCCTTAAGTTTGTCACAGAACGCCACCACACACTCCACCGTACCTTGAGTTTGTCACAGAATCCACCACACACTCCAACGTTCCTTGAGTTTGTCATAGAATCCACCACTCCACCGTGTCTTCCCCTCATCAGTCAACACGTTCTCTGTCTGTTTAAGTTACTGGTACTTCAAGGCGTCCTTTGTCAAACAGGTAAGATCTAAAACTAGGCCTATCTTACCTGCAGCTAAGTTTCTGAGCAGGTTTATCTCAATGTTGATCTTTTAAAAAAATCATTGCTAGAAATGAAAGCGGGAGAAAGTGATCGCGTTGGTCAAAGCATGCGACTCTTGACAGGGGTCATCTGAACAATATTTTTGGAACCGCTGATTTAAATGTTTTGATAACACATTACACAAGGACGCTTGATAAAAGTTATCTTAACACGATGTGTGACCTCGATATAGTTTCTGACCCATTTCAGTTTATTATTAAAATTTATCGTGCACATAATATACAGCAATCAAAAGAAGTTTTTTACCCAACACCCACTCATATAGGACCTTATACTATAACACTTCTAAGACGTAAATAATTTTTAGTCTAGTCACATTTTGTTTACACTGCGAAAGCGTGGTTGTTTTTTAATTATCGGAAAGTCATGTTGTCTTACCTTAAAAATTGTTTTAAAAAATCAACTAAAGCACTTGTGTAAACACAATTCGAAAAACCACCTAAAGCCACTTTCCTCTGAAACGAAACAAATTAACTCTCTCACTAGTTGACCGAGACGTCCCTAGTTGAATCTGCCCGTATGAGAGCTTAGGCTTTGTGAATAAAAAAAAAACAACCTCGCCCATTTCAAAACCGGTACTTAAAAAACGATTACCGCTTATTCACCAATGAAACAGAACGGTCGGCGTTCGTTGCAGGTGTCAGGACTAATCTGGTCGAAACACAAACACTTCCCATTGAATCAAACGGACCTTGTAACTGATCCGCTACTGGCGCGTTAAATGGTGAGCTTGCTATAATGGCGTGGAATCAAATCTTACACCTTATTATATACTAGCCGTCCCGGCCAGGACCTGCACAGGCCACTGTGAGAAACCTATCTGTAAAGGATTGTGTTTGTTAAGCAGCGTAGACCCAGCTTTGCCCGGGTTTAGGAAATATATTATTTTTCCAATTTTCTATATGCAAATATAGACGCATAACCTAACTCTAACTCAAAACTTAACCCTAACCACAAGCAACCACAACACAAAAATTAAACACAAACGCAAACGTAACGCAAACACAAACAAAAACACAGGCGCAAAAACAAACGTTAGCACAAACGGAACACACTACAAAGAAAGGTAGGCGTTATCTAGTTGAAAAATCTTTAGTTTTTAAGGAATGTATATTACCACTCATAAAGTATTAATATATAGTATTATATAGGCTGTAATTTATAACTAACCGTAAACTTTGTTCTTTTCAAACAATTTTTTTTTTATATTTAATCAATAATTATGGCAAATCTTAAACAGTTTACGTATTTGATTTGTTTAAATACTTTTATATTCAACTAAAACAATTAACATCAAACATTTGTTTGTAGGCCATTGTCTGTGGTAACATATATAGTCTACCATTGTAGAATAGTCAGAAACATGATTATTTTAGTTTTCATCACATTTAACCAATGATAACTTTCCATCACAACGCAATTAATTTAATGTCATCAAAATTGATTAGAAGTATGTTATAATAAAGCTATCGTATTTAGATTTTCAAACAAATCCTACATTTAGGTTGTCAATTGGTAAAATGTATTCTATTGACACAATTACATAGGTAATATAAAATATTTATAATATTTATTACTTAATGAAATTCAAAGCGTTTTATTGTGTTTTTCAAGAATGTCTTAGTTACACTTGGTTAACTTAGCTATTATTCTGAAAGTTATTTCCCTTAAATAAAATTTTGGTGTATGGATTTCAAAATGGGAGATAATTCATTGCTTAAGTTTACATTAATTTCACATTCTTGCACCTTAGGTTGACCGCTTACTTATAAATCCTACTTTTAAGTTATTATTTGCTATTGTAAAAATTATATAGAGCAGAAGTTCTAAACAGAAATGATTTGGTAGGTTTGGTAGGTTATGTTGCATTATTAAGTTAAAAAACAAAAACATCAGCAGCCTTTGTATATTGCAATACGTAATGTTAGTAGACATACACATACAACAATTGCGTCTAAAATCGTCTTATTCGCATATTAATCATCTAATTAGTTAGGTGTCGTGTTCATATTTTTCACCCTCTGCTAAAGGATTCATATATAACAATTGTAATCTATAACATTTGTAAACTTATATTTTTCAAATACAAAACAATCATTACATAATCACACAATATAGACATTTTACAATTATAACTAAAGAAAGTAAAGTAATTTTCCAAAGGTGTGTGTGTGTGTGGGGGGGGGGGGGGGGGCTATGTCGTAAAGTACAAAGAAGACTTGTGGACTCAGCAACAATTTCAAAAGAATGTGATTACGCTTGCAAACTGGAATTGAAGGAATTAGTACAAACTTTTGAGACGAATGAGGCAAGTATAATTTGATTTTGATGTCTACTTATAAGGTGGATATACATATATTTATATATATATATATATATATATATATATATATATATATATATATATATATATATATATATATGTATATATATATATATAAATATTTATATATATATATATATCCATCTCTCTCTCTATATATATATATAAATAATTTATATATATATATATATATATATATATATATATATATATCCATCTATATATATGTATATATATATATGTGTGTGTGCGCGTGTGTGTGTGTGTGTGTGTGTGTGTGTGTGTGTGGTGTGTTGTGTTGTGTTGTGTTGTGTGTGATCAGGGTGTAGACCTACCTTCAGATCTAGTCATTTGTTTAAAGAGGCTCATCTGTTTATTCCTCTCCTTAATGTCTAAAATCCTTTGAATAACTTAAACTATTAGACAACTTTGAGGTAGCTACCGTAGTAATTATATTCTGCCACTATTTGTTGGTTTCGATGTACGACAAGCTAGCAATAATACCATGTTGCTACCTGCTATTGAAACAGAGCATGCTATGAATCATCATCAAATAAAAATTAGCTTTTAATTGTTTAGTTAAACTCCAGTTCATTGACTTTAATTTCGAGGCAATGTTTTTTTTTGTTGAATCACAAGAACTAAGCACATGTGTAGACATAGGGATAATAGTCTAATCTTTTTGAAATCCTAAACTCTATCTTAACCCCTTCTGTTGTTATTCCCACACACGGGCCAGTAGATAGTCTGTTATATGTGGAAGATTGTGGCCAACTCTCTTCTGGTTAAAATGTGTTGTGTGTGGAAGATTGTGGCCAACTCTATTTTGGTTAAAATGTGTTGTGTGTGGAAGGTTGTGGCCGACTCTATTCTAGTTAAAATGTGTTGTGTGTGGAAGATTGTGGCCAACTCTCTTCTGGTTAAAATGTGTTGTGTGTGGAAGATTGTGGCCCACTCTCTTCTGGTTAAAATGTGTTGTGTGTGGAAGATTGTGGCCGACTCTCTTCTGGTTAAAATGTGTTGTGTGTGGAAGATTGTGGTCGACTCTCTTCTGGTTAAAATGTGTTGTGTGTGGAAGAATGTGGCCCACTCTCTTCTGGTTAAAATGTGTTGTGTGTGGAAGATTGTGGCCCACTCTCTTCTGGTTAAAATGTGTTGTGTGTGGAAGATTGTGGCCGACTCTATTCTGGTTAAAATGTGTTGTGTGTGGAAGATTGTGGTCGACTCTATTCTGGTTAAAATGTGTTGTGTGTGGAAGATTGTGGCCGACTCTCTTCTGGTTAAAATGTGTTGTGTGTGGAAGATTGTGGCCCACTCTCTTCTGGTTAAAATGTGTTGTGTGTGGAAGATTGTGGCCGACTCTATTCTGGTTAAAATGTGTTGTGTGTGGAAGAATGTGGCCGACTCTATTCTAGTTAAAATGTGTTGTGTGTGGAAGATTGTGGCCGACTCTATTCTGGTTAAAATGTGTTGTGTGTGGAAGATTGTGGTCGACTCTCTTCTGGTTAAAATGTGTTGTGTGTGGAAGATTGTGGCCGACTCTATTCTGGTTAAAATGTGTTGTGTGTGGAAGATTGTGGTCGACTCTATTCTGGTTAAAATGTGTTGTGTGTGGAAGATTGTGGTCGACTCTATTCTGGTTAAAATGTGTTGTGTGTGGAAGATTGTGGCCCACTCTCTTCTGGTTAAACTGTGTTGTGTGTGGAAGGTTGTGGCCCACTCTATTCTGGTTAAAATGTGTTGTGTGGAAGATTGTGGCCGACTCTATTCTGGTTAAAATGTGTTGTGTGTGGAAGATTGTGGTCGACTCTATTCTGGTTAAAATGTGTTGTGTGTGGAAGATTGTGGCCGACTCTCTTCTGGTTAAAATGTGTTGTGTGTGGAAGATTGTGGCCCACTCTCTTCTGGTTAAAATGTGTTGTGTGTGGAAGATTGTGGTCGACTCTCTTCTGGTTAAAATGTGTTGTGTGTGGAAGATTGTGGCCCACTCTCTTCTGGTTAAAATGTGTTTGATGGTGAAGATGGAGGCCCCACTCTCTTCTGAGTAAAGTCTGTATGATATGGAAGATTTTGGCACCGTCTCTTCTGGTTTAGCAGAAGTCGAGTGGAAAAATTATAGAGCTAATGAGAGATATGCGAAACGTCTTTATTTTTTAAGAAGAACTCCTTTGTCCATTTTCAAACATAAAGAAGTCTATTCTAATTGGATGATAATCCCAAAAGGGAAACGGGGAGGGAAGGGGCTGTCTGTAAGCTGGAATACAGTGGCGAGTGTTGAAAAGTTTACAGCTTTATTTAGTTATTTTCAAGCACAGTCGCCGCTTGTATTTCTAAAAATATGTCTTAAGCATGAGGTCAACATTTGAAACTAATATAGAATATACATGTGAAATCAATGTCAGGTGTAAAACTAAAGGTGTGAAACAAATTTAGAATATGAAATACACGTAAAGTGTGAAACTATTGTAAGGCGTAAAAAGCATTGACTGTGATATTTAAATTAGATATTATACCAATGGCAAATTCGATCAATTTTCTGATTTTTTTTACATTATTTTTTTTCACCAAGAAATATAAATTACATACATCTAAATGGTATCCAACCAAAATAAAAATCACACATTTAATTTCCACGTTCTTACATTTGTTACCCTATATAAAGTGTTCAAATAATTACACAATCATCCCCTGACCCCGGTTTGGGTAGCAATAGTTGGGGCGACATCGTTGACTACTCTATAATTCTTTTGCCATCTTTGTCGGACCAGCTGCTTGAAGTGGTTCTGCAAAGGGCAGCCTACTCCACTCCTTGATGTCGCCCAGTACATTTCGTCTTTGCCTCCCTCGCCTTCTCTCCCCTTGCGCCGTTCCTTGCAAATTGCCCACATACATGGTACGTACGCTACCTTATGGTTTTAAAAGAAATGTCGTTGTCTATTTCTTAATTAAGTCTAGGGGAAAAGGAGAGTGGGCACTGATCTCTCTATTTCTCTTCATATGCGGGGATCACATAACTATAAATCTGGGATATTATATTACCCAACCAAATAACTTTTTACAGTTATTTTTGTGCATGAATGGTACGGTAAAAAATGAACAGAGGTTGTTTTAAGGGAGACAATCTGGTCATATTTAGAATTGAGATATTTTACGGATTAACTCCCTTGGCTTACAAACTTTTTTTTTCAAATTAATTAACAAAGAGAAATACATTTATTCCAGATTTTTTTTTTGACATAACTTCAGGGAACTGCACCCCCCCCCCTCCCCCATCATCACCACCACCACCCCTTTACGAATCCGTCCACCATCCCCTCGCCTCGGACAATTTTTTAAAAATCTATTCTATAAAATGTATATTTTTACCAGCATCCGATCACTCCTTGGAAATTTTAAACCGCCCCCCCCCCCCCCCACCCCCCACCCCCCCCCGGAGGAAGATGTCTGAAAGAAACCCTGCACTATTCACCAATACATTCTATGTAATAATAGCAATCATTATTGAGTGTTCGGTCTTGGTTTTTTTAAGCCAATTAAAGTTAATTTAACATATTGACAGGTATCATATATAAGTTAACATTAAGGTTTAGCTTATAAAGTACGAGGCTAATAAGTATCATACGTGATACACATAAGCTTAAGTACGCTTTAATTAAGAACTGTTCCAAGGTTAAGTATACACGAGAGACATGTTATCTAAAGGGAACATGTTATCTATAGAGAACATGCAATCTGAAGGGAACATGTTATCTAAAGGGAACATGTTATCTGTAGGGAACATGCAATCTGAAGGGAACATGCTATCTGAAGGAAACATACTATCTAAAAGGGACATATTATTCTGAAGGGAACGTGTTATCTGAAGGGAACATGTTATCTGAAGGGAACATGTTATTTGAATGGAACATACTAGCTGAGGGGAACATGCTTTCGGAAGGGAACATGGGGTAAAATATTATATTGTTTTGTGTGTAGTAAGCTTGGGAAGGAGAAACTTTTCCACTCGTATATAGATAAAGAAAAATTAACATACACACATATAGATTCTCTTACACGTACATGCACACACACACACACACACACACACACACACACACATACGAACTTCGATGCACCTACATATTATTAAATTGGGTCAGCACACGGATGTCAACTAAAATGTTTCGCATTGATATTTAAAATATTAATGAACAAAACAAACAGAGGATTTAACTTTCACTATAGTTATAAACGATGTCTTTTTTTGAAAAAAAAATAACAACACCATTTATTTTTAAACGAAGTCCGGTTTTAGGCCCTACAGATGTATTCACGAATTCCGGTTGGGCTTTTTTGTTTAGTCACCGGAGTACGAAACTAATCTAAATATATTCTACATAAGGTGGGGAGGGGGAGGAATCAAGGTTAACGTGTTTCGTGTCCTGGGTTTTCTTCACCTGCCGACGAGACATTCATGATAAGCTTTCCATCGTTTAAAAAACCTGTTTTATAATCAACATTCTCACACCGCAACAAATGGGGGCCAAAGTACATTGTGCTTTTTGAACCGATGAACTAAACATTCGAGACCGACCCAGCAGAGTTTGAAAATTCTTAGCCCCAAGTTCAGAACATTCCAGTTGACGTTGGGTCTTTCTTGATAGAACGATGATGTAAACATTATCAGCTGGTGAGGCGGGGGTGAAGGGGGTATTTATCTTATCCAGGTGTGTGTGCATAGATAGACTAGATTGGGCCGGCAATGTACGTAGCGTATAGGATAATCTCAGGGGGTTGATAGTCTAGTTAAGTCAGCTGTTTAAAGTTTCATAGGTTGGGATTACACTTTAACGATAGTATCTATAATGGCAATGGTGGAGCTATATATATATATATATATGTTACGGTCAAAGCCCGAAGTCGGCCAATGCGCGGATTGGCCGGCCAATCCGCGCATTGGCCAATATCGCCTCCCATAGGTCGGTCAAAGTCCGAAACTTTGCTTCATTTCGGCCTTTGGCCGGCCAATCCGCAGACTGACCATTGTGGACCAGCCAAAGTCTGAAATAGCTCTTGATTTCGGCCTTTAGCCGGCCAGTCCCGGCCAGTCCGCGGACTGGCCATGATGGACCGGCCAAGTCTTAATTAGAAGATCATGAGCAGATTTTGGTTTTTTTTATGCCGGTAGGATCATGAAATTAAGTCTTTATTGATTATTAATTAAAGTAAATGACAGAAACATTCAAATTTTTTATTGTACTATAGTCTCAATCAATCAATATTATCATTTGTTACAACAAGTTGAACTTTTATGGCATTTAGAATTACATAGCAGCTTCTTATTTTTACACTTGCAGCGATTTGTTGTACACTTGGTTGTGCAATTGCAGCGAGTGTAGCCTTGGCCCCCAGTCAATGATTGTGAAGATGCG